GGTGACGAAACGTTTGCAACAAAATTTCCATGCTCAGCGAACAGTTCAACAGCCGTCTGAACAGTGTCATGTCAAGAACGCTGAACATAGGGTACTTGTGTATACGCATGAAAGCGAGGTAGGACGTGGATGAACTGGAAATAGGGCGCCTGGTGACAAGGTAAGGGCGTCATGGTGGGATTAACTTTGGAAAAGAAAATAGACAAGGGGACGGGCACACGAATGATGCATGCCGCGCGATGAGGTTGACCGACGCAGAAGTAGGTAACTGACAGCGGAGGCTTGGGTGGTCGCAAATTTGTTGTACACCAGTCATGTAGGGATCACAACGTGCTGAAAATGGTAAGGGACACCGACAGGTATTCAGGTATGCACATCCAGGTTATCATTGTTGGTCTATGTGGAGGCCCTCAATTCTCAATGGTTGACCCAGAATTCATCCCGGAGGGCGGCGATGATATTCCCGTGACTACCGCCAATAGACCACACAGGATATTTGAGCTGTAGCGGATGCCATACGAATTAAGAAACGCACCGCAGCACAGCACAAAAGTCCCCAAGCTTGCTCAACTCAGTCACGCGTGAACGTGACTTCGTCCACGCGCAATTGGATGGCAGTGTGGTGGCAAGTTACCCAGAAGAGGAACCTGAAGTGCACCTTTCTACTTTGCTGGAAAAGCTGATGCACAAATTTCCATGGTCCACCGCGATAGCGGGGCATAGAGTTCCTCGGACATCAACTAGACTCCGAAGGCATCCAATGTATACCTTCATAGAGACCATACAGTTCGGGATTTTCGTAGTCCAGCTTTTCCAGTCGCAATTCCGCGCTTCGTCGCATGCTCAACTACTACTGCCGATTCTCGCCACGTTGCCACGAGCTCATGCAACCCTTTCCGGACTTCCTTTGTGGGCGCAGTGACGATAAAGTTCACCATACACTGATGGAAAATGCTTTCCAAATCAGTAAAGGAACGGGCAGGTGCTATCATGCTTCATCACATCGACAAAACGTCCTACTTAGGTTTGCTGTCGAGGTCTCGGACAGCAATGTTGGTGCTATTTTTTCAGTATCTCACTGCTGATAACTGGTAACCGCTTGCGACTTTCTGCAGAAGGCTACAGACTGTGGAGACCAAATACGGTAAGCTTGGCCAATAGCTACTGTCCACCTAGTGCGCTTTTCGTCACTTCCGGAACGTGTTTGAAGGCAATCAATTCAATATTTTCGCCGACCGCAAGCTGCTAGTTCACACTTTCGGAAATCAGTCAGCTTGACGCTCACCGCTAGTGCTTCATCAGATGGATTCTGTGGCTTGGCTCTCGACAGAGTTCCAATACCTTTCTGGTCAGAATAATTTGATCACCGGTGCCGTCGCGATAACACTTACAGTCAGCATCAAGGACACACCCTGTCCTATCCCATACCCAGCGAACCCGCCAATGGGGCAAAGATGTAGCGATTCTAGCAGTTCAGAGCGCCCGGCAAGCCGTGAAGTCTGTCATTCATTAGACTCCACGTACCGACACAGCCCTAAAACTGTAGCACCTTCAGCAACGCCAAAAACGTCTAATCTCTTAAACAGATGAGTACACTGCTGACAAAGTTGAAACAATAGAAAAGACCTGTAGAAACGCACGAAAAGTACTATTTTGCTTATTTAATATTGTGTTATCTGGCAAGTATCATATCTTTCGCTAGTTCCTGCAACTGTTGCACCTTCAAGCCTTCATTCGTTTCCCGTGTTCTCCTCCAGATCATAAGGGAAGGTAGCCTAGCCTATCGGACGCTGCGAATGTTTTTTTTCTTGTTTTGGTATCCTAGAAGGGACAGGGCAAGTGTCCGCTTAGGTCTGATCGCAATAGTGCCCTTCCAACAGCTGCTTACTTCGCAGAGGTTGGTCTCACAGAAGGCTCGTTGACGACAGTTAGTCCTCGCGTAGACCGAAAGGCTACCCACGGTTCCCTTCTAGGAAAAAAGATATCTGTGTGTGCAACCAATTCGCTGGTTTGGTTGTACCTGTGTTTGTTGACTTCCAATTTAGTCCAAATCAAATACCTACGCTTCGCTGGTGTATTAACGTTGCTGTAGATCGCAAATAGGTTCTTCATTCCCTGGTCTGAATTGGACGCCAGTAGACAATTCGGCCTAGTTTGGTGACGCAACGCTCCAAGTTTTGATCGTAGGTAATCCTAATCGACGGGTAAATTGCGCACGCGAACTATGCCCCGTAGAAGGACGGATTGCAACACCACCGGAAAGTTAAATGCCGGTTAATTGACGGACACAGGACGACTATGATGGTTAATGAGATACACTTCTTAGTTCCTTGCGCAAAAGAGAAGGAAGACAGACCTTTTCAGAGAGCTTGTTACGACTAAGCAAAAGTAAGTCAGGCCAGGACACCGATTTGATTGTAAAATGGCTTACTACTTCGAGGTGTGAGATTTAGAAATAACATCTTCAATTTCGTACCCGCTGCACCCATCCCGAAGCTACTGCGTTGGGGGCAGGAAATTTGTCCCGCGCAACACGGCCTAGTGACACGGGCGGTGGTGCGTAAATTTTACGGGGTTGCTTGGTGCTCCCGCAACAACTGGCAAATCTGCGAAGACAAGGAAGAATCAATACTCCCTAAATAAGTTCTTACACTTAGATGCATGGAACGCTTATCCCCATATTCTGGAATCAAGGCCGTCGGTCCAAATCTGCAACAGCAAATAGAATTTCAACGCCAGTTGATAGTCCATCTAAAGCTCTGCACTTATTTTGTTAGAGGCCGCTCCCTTAAGGTAACATACTTTTTAGTAATTAACATTGTTAAGCTGCATCCGACAACACGTAGAATAATCCGGGTATTCTTACCTAGCAAAGGTTTTCACCACTGACAGCTCGATTAGCAAAGCAGGAATCATCCGATCATCATAACACAACTAGTTCTCACCGTGCAACCCTATCAGGGTCGAAACAAATTCTGGACAGATATCACAATTGCTTACAACCGAATCGTACAGCCATTTATAATGTACATTTTGTTCACCCAATGCGCCATTTGCCATCAAAATTCAGTTGATACAGCGCGTTAACTTAGGGACGAAAGCTACATAAGCAGAAAGAAAACCGAAGGAGAAGAGTAAATAAAAACGGAAAATGCTTGATCTAACCAAAAGAAAATGTCTACTTTTGCAGGCATGGCGGAACAGAAACGCATCAGTGCCCTTGTAGCAACCGATTGCAATGGTCCATTCAAGAAGATAGCCCCGAGGTGCTCCATTTAGTACCTTGTTCATTAATTTAATGTAGTACGCAGCGGCTGCTTTTATATGGATATAGCGTTGGAATAAAGGTACCCAGTAACATGAGTGACAGATAGAGGAACGACGTGGTCTGGTCAGTGTAATCATTTCACGTTCAGTAAGTAGCTCGTTGTGGCACCAAATGGTACAATTTTAACCCTTTCCAGTGAAAAGAAGATTAGCCAGTTTTGTGGTTACAATAGAATTTGATTTCGGGTTGTAACACCTGCTATACTGTGCTACTGTGGTGTGGTTAAGGATATTGGGTGACTATCTAGTTAGCCTACCCAATCGACCAACAAAACATCTAAAAATAAATCGCAACGCTCGAAGAACAACCGAACATCTTTGCCCATATTCTAAGCCACAAATGTTCTTAATAATTGTCAACCTGATATACTATAGTCTCCATAGAGGATCAGAAATTTCGTAAGCCTTGTGGCCTTCATTAGTGCGCGCTGACATGCTTTATTGAGCTAGTCACGTGGTGCTAACGACTGCTGTGGAACATAAACCGGCGGATTACTTCATGTGGTTATTCGGTGACCATGAGGAAAAGTGCAGCGTCTATAAGCTCCTGAAAGCGTGAAGTGCACACACTCGATGACCGATGGGGCACGAGTGATTTTGAGTACGAAAAATACAAAAGTTAGCACGGGTTGGATTCACTGTGTATAATACAAAGCTATTTTTACACCATCACTACATCATGCCACTAATGGAAGATCCCAAAGGTAAAGCTTCTGAAGCTCACAGATCTGGTATTAACTGGACAGATAGAAAAGCTCCCGCAGTCAAACAGAAGACCGCGATGACGGGGAGCCGTAAGAGAGCTTAATCAAACAACAAAAGATGAAGAACCTACAGAAGGCTGAAAAGCAGGCCGTTGTGTGGAAGAATTCAGATAAGCAAGTACAACCAATGTAGGTATTCTTACCTGCTTAACCATTTCCTTTTCGGAGTGAAGAAGTATTTTGTCGATCACTGCAAGCGCCTCTGGAGTTCCATGAAACCTATAATCACTAAGACTTACTGCGAATATCTTGTCTACGAGTGTCTTCCTTGGGTAGCGTTTCTTCTAATTCTTACTCGAATAATATGAAATTCTTTGTAAATACGACTAACTTACTGGAGAATAACAGCCTGTATCTGGTCAGTGAACTGTGCACTCCGAAATACATTCCGCAGACATCTTGGATACGTTGTTCTTCGTACTTCGAAGAAGCCTAGGTTTCCAAAAGAAGAAAAACAAGTAATTTAAAGCGCTTAAATAGAGAGCGGGATGTTAAAAAGTATCAGACGTTATTCCAAACCAAACCCCAGCAAGATGTTACCCTAGAGTGGTGCCTACGCAAATGCGACACACATTTGCTCAAGGTCAGATCATCTCCGTTCACAGATAACTCGTAAAGTCACTAAGATATATACCCATTGTGCGGACTAAGCTACGTATTAAGTTTAAACTTGAACAAATGTATGCTGAAAAAAGTAACGCGTTTCTATGCAAATGTGTTCAAACTAAGCAATGTGTGACAGTGTCAGGTGTGGCATTAGCCATTCACACAAGTAGGAAAGGTGTACAGAGGTTAGCTTACGACAATCGTGTCATCGCTCACTCCACCTAGAAATCGGGTCACGTGGCCACTCGAAATTTGTAACAATCCATATACGACTGTCCCGGAACGAAGAAGACATTCAAGCGTGACGGTATATATTGTTAACTTGAATGACAAATGACGAGAAACCATGCGTTTCCAATGAAATACAATCACAATAAGATACACGCTTTGTATGCACTCTTAAGGGGATTATGGATTAGTTTGCTGTACCAAGGCATATTGTGACAAAATGTACCTATTTCAGATGTCGAATTAAATAGTCGTTGGACATGTGCGATTGCAGCTGAAATAACATTCCCTCTCAAGCGACACATAAGAGCCGGAAATCCGACCAGACCAACTGAAGCCGGGCGCCCCCTAACATGTTTTGATCGGAATGTACTGCAAGTTGTGGGTATCTCTTTCGTTTGAATTTCAACTCTCTGTCAAACCTCATTGCAAGATGTTCGCACACAACCTACTATTGTTGGATCATATCGACCGTTTTCCACCCTTATTTCTGCCTGAACAAGTACGAACTTTGCCAGTCTTCTTAACTGACATGTTGGCGGGGTCCCGGAAATCTCGTGCTCTGCTCGTTGTCATCGGTTGGGATCAGACCGATTTTACATCTGTTTCCTTGTCTCTATCAACCTCTAGACGTGCTCAAGTAAATAGGCGCCTTTAGCTTCAGGTGTGACCTAGCAGCCTGATTTACCGATCGTTGTGATGTTTACATTAGTTACCGAGGGTGGAAATTTGCTTTGATCTGCGCTTCTATTGATGCCGAGGTAACTTATGCGACGGGATCAGTTCCGATTCAGGACAACAAGAACCTAGAAGTTAACAGGCACTCTTAATAGCACTAAAAGTGTATAACGCCAGATTGTTTTAACCATGATCCCATGAGCAGGTGGTTAGGATAATGGTAGATGACATAGTTTATCGCCACTATGTAGCTGACAGAATACTAACTACTGGGTTCCAGTTATAGAATGGCTGTTCTTAAGCAGTCGAAGCAAGCGACTGAGTTGCCTCTTTTCTTTCTTCTTTCTTCTTCTTTCTACTTTGCTCAATGGCCTGTCAGTAAATGCGTTTGTGCAAACGGAAAGATCCCGGTGGAGTCTGCAGCGACTTGGTTCAATTAGCATGCTAGGTGAAACCTTAAACCAGCGGGACGCATGCGGCTAGGAATTGCGAAAGATAGCCAAGTAATCTGATAATTCCACATTATATTACTGCTAAATTTCTTGCCAGACCATGTTATTTAGCCTGCGGCTTCAGATGAACGACCGGTGTACTGTCCGTCAACACAGAGATTCACGCAAACTACGACATGCATAGAGTTAAATGCCCCCGTGTTAAGTTGTTCCCGACGCGGTGCAGTCCTGCTGAATAAGTACCTATTCATTCAGCTTCTTGGTGCGCCCGCCAAGAATGCTGACGAAGGTGCATTTGGCGGTAAAAATGTAACGGCTGCCACGTGCTCATGCTGTCGTTCAGGTTCTGTTGAAAGCAACATCGAAGCATGATGTGTACTGCACCCATTACGTTTGATGAGCGTCTTCATACCAGCCAACTTCACATTAAGAGCCATTTCCAAAAAGCATTCATGAAGTGTTGATTGCATTGAGTGTAACAAACCTCATCAACTGTTTCGACTACTGAGACCACATGACCATCCACACTCATTTCATGCATGTTCGATAGTTTACCACAATATGACAGCCCCGCAAGATTGCTACATGCAGTGAAAGACGAGTACGAATCAATGTAAAAATAAATATTGAATACTGAGCAACGTACCAAGTAGAGATTCCATTTAAAACTGCCAACTGTAACTTGGTAGGAAGCTTTAGTTGAAGACTGATGGAAATGAATGAATATATTGGGGGGGGTTTCGGAGCTGTTATCTCCTAATACTGCATATACAGGGCGCTCTTGACAGGTAAATATAGAACAAATTGAAAAAAGAGTGTCAAGTCAGCCTGGCGAATCTGGCGCCACATTCGTAGTAGGCGTGAATATGATTATTGGAATTAACAGCATTAAACGGTAATTGACGCGGTTCCTAACTGGAGTTATATTCACAGGATTGAAGCAGTTCCACAATAAGGTAGCCTCTAGTGTAATCAACACCAAGGGATGATTATTCGCTAAGTTAACCGGATTCGGCATACCAATATCACTAGCAGCAATCAGCCAATATGACCTGGTAATTTCTCAATACCTTTGTAATACCGCATGACTGTAGTAGTTGGGCCACATTGTAGCATCAAGCTGTCAAGTCGCTATCGGCATCCTCCATCGTGTTATATGTGCACTGAACGTCAGGCCCTAACTCACTCAGTTTGATGAAGTATACATATAAACGCACGCATGCACGCACCAAGCTTATCGTGTTCCACTGTGTATGCCGGATGTTCTGTCAGTGATTACTTGCAGTGTCCTGTCCAGACTTGTTCTCGATACCGTGGGTTATGAGCCCTATAGAGCATACGCTCTCATACGTTTACTGTGGCTAATACGTATCACATAGCCGCTCACAAGAATAGTCGTTTCGGCCAAACTAATATTTACTTATGTTTGGAAGCTTGATAACATTGTCCATTTATTAGGAATTGTACCTATCCTATTGTGCAACAATTCATGGAAAACCGCTACTTATGAGAGGCCGTAACCAGAATGAATGAAAATATGGATATAGCCAATAATAAACTTTGGTGTTATGAGTCGACTTGTATTTACAGAGTGAGTCACACGGGTTAGTACTTAGCAATTAACAGAATGTAAAAATAAGGCCGGGTTTTCTTGCAGTCTTCTTGTACTGACCAGGTTACAACCATTCTCATTAGACAATTTCTGACAACTAAGAAAATAAAGCCCCGATAGTAAGATAAGTGTTCGGTTAGTCTGGAGTGTGGTTGTGTGAAAACCCATGTATGTGAATCCGTGGACCTTTCTTGAGAATATGTCTCTAATACTTTCGAAAACAATTGACCGTGATGGCAGAGAGGACAGAGGTTGTGATGTGTCAACATTTCGATTGTTCTCTTCAGTCGCAAACACAATACGAGCAGAAACACGCATACCGAATTGATTCAATTCGGTTGCCATGGTCCTGACTGTGATATTTTGATTGGTGTTGCTTATTTTTCTATGTATATAATCGTTTGTATGTTTCTGCTCGTATTGTGTTTGCGACTGAAGAGAACAATCGAAATGTTGACATATAGCAACCTCTGTCTTCTCTCTGCCTTGAAGGGGACACATTGTTTTAATTTACCGTGACTTAAATGACCTTGAAGATGGAAAGAAGGCCTATAATCGTTAACGACGGTGCACGATATTCTCCTCGACGACAACGACACGATATGCCCAACGTACGCTAAACCTTTATTGAGAACCGAAACACTTTCATTGTCATTGATTCAGGAACTGCGACGAGATTGCCATATACGACAGATGTGAGCAACTTCGTTAAAACCTACGTCAGCCCACCTAACAATCTCCTTGTGGTGCCAGCTGAGTGGTTTCCGGTTAATATATTCCAGCAAATAATTTGGTGTTAGTGCTCTAGGGCATGGTGCTTTTTCGCCTGGCAATAATTCTACTTATAGAATCCAAAAATGCCCGCTTAACAACCTGGTGACGTGGTGGACGCGACTCGCCACTAAATAAACTCTGCCCCTTGTTTCATTCTGATGGAGAGTGAATTCCAACAAGTTGGTGCAGGAACTGTGGGATGGATTAGGATCCCTTTTGGTAACTGACCAAAGGAATGATATATGAACTGAACAATCAGCCATCGGCTCCAAATGGGTGCGATGCTCTGACTTCACTCCGCTGACTTGAGGATAAGCCATTCAGTCAAAAGCTCCGATGATGTCCTCAAAGTCAACACCTTACCCCGGTCTGGAAAGTCGGTAGTGTCGTGCCCTTTGAAAAAAACCATGGATTACTCTGGTGCTCGGTATTCCTTTTAAAATAATTCCACTTTTCATGGATTTCAGTGGGTTTTGTTGGCTCCATCTATCCGTAGACTGAATATATATATCAGCCTAATAAGCTAAAGACCAAATCGTTGTGTCCATCAATGAGCACAAATGATTGTTGCTCAGGTAGCCGTTGATGAGTGGGATTCATACAAATGTCTATGGCTTGATCACAGACTACTTTATAAACCTCAGCTCAACGGAACAAACTTGTCAATGCTTCGCTCCGATCGTGGTGTTTTACAAAGAGCCATTCTCTATATCCTCGGTTTTATTTATATATCGTAAAGCTTTCTATAGCGTCCAACTCTGTTGGATGCAAATATGCCGATGATGTTGTTATGGGATACATAGCTCCAACTGTTGAAACATCTACTCTTCATGGTGGTCTGGGAGAGTTTGTGCTGTGGTCATCGTTCCAGGCTCTCATTTCAAACACATCGAATTGTTATGATATAACGTTCTCTTTCTTTCGGGTTGATAAGCTAAAAGCTGTTTCTAATGCCACATCTTCACCAGTAGTTAGTGGGCAAGTGATACACAGGACATCAACTGTCAAATATTCTGTGTTCTTTTTATCCCGAAAACTAACTTGGTCTAAGCATGTCGCCGAAACGTTTCACAAGGTTAGAA